CTGCAATACGGAAATTGTTGAAGATGAGAAGTAAATTGGGAAATAAATTGTTTTCATAATGAATTGGGGGATAATTTTAAATCTGCGCAAATAGGGAGAAGAATTATTTTCACGAAGGCGAAAAAGGGAAGCCACGTTGCCACAGGTTCTTTTATCCTCAAAACTATCGCCATCTAATTTATGAGTTGGGTGCGCTCTTTTTGTTTTGATTTCTTTCCTTCACTTCCACCACGTTGCTTGAATAAATAAGGCTCGAAAAGAAGAAGCCCTTTACTTTCAAATGAGGAGAAAAAAATGTCCCTTTTAATCTGCCGAACTCAGATACTCTTCAACCCACTCTTTTCTCATTGAGTATTTTGGGACTGGCAATTTAGACGCAAGCTTTTAATGGTTGACAGCCTAATACTGTAGATATCGTAGTTAGCTTCAGGAAGAGTTAAACACATCTTTATTCTGGCAGGAAAGGGATGCGTGATAGACTTACTTCCACGTGGTGCACCCTGGGCAACGTATACTCTTACGGCAAAAAAGTCTATTGACTGGCAGTTGACTTCTCACTTCAAACTACCATGACCCCACTGTATGCCATATTCGAATACTTCCACAGTACTCACCTCGCATTTTTCTACCTTTTTGTCTGTCTCTTTTACATCTTTGAAACACTCTTCTCTTCCCCCCCCCTCTCGACTTTCTTTCACTTTAATGTTCCTTCCCCTGAAGTCAACTAAAGGGCTAATGATAACCATCAAAACGCCTGCCATTTGATATAAATAAATAATTCTAACAGAAAAATGGACTACTTGAAATCGGCATTACACTGGTCAGTAATAATAATTGGCACAGTGTTCAAACGCAGAAGAAGAACAAACTTGCCTACCTGACCGGAGCAGCGGAATTTTGAGGCCACGACCTGAGACACAGCCAAATCGAGATCAGCAGATTCAAAGATTATGAAAGGTGCATTTCCTCCCAATTCCAACTGTACGCGTTTGAGGTGCGCTGCCGCTTGAGTGTAGAGTTTCTGGAAAAAAAGGAGCAAAGGCATGAAAACATGTCTTGTGGTTGAGAAGTCAAATTCAAGGACTTTCGCACTAAGGAAAGTTCTTAATTAAGTAATTCCTTAACTTGCATCTACTCAGTTTCATCAACAATGGAAAATAATGAGATATCTAAAGGGAGATTCATAATTGCCCAATCATTGAGTGGGGAAATTTTCAGAAATTGTTAACGGAATGCATTTGACGTTACTCAGGAAAGTAGTATTCTAATGATTTTGACTCAAAAAAAGTAATTAATGAGGTAAGAAAGAAAATTAACTTTTTTTCTACTTATGAGCCATTAAATAATACACGCAAAACAGTTCGGTATTACACACACAAAAATTGTAGTTCAATTAATTAAGCTGAATGTAGATAGTGGTAAACCTATCCTAAATACTAATAGTTTTAAGTATATCAACAAAAAAAGAAAATTCAATAGAAATCAAATATCCGGTACAAAAAATTGCCTTACAGTGTGTCCAAACTATGGCTGAGTCAAGTGAAGCCAACTAATTAGGGAAATATTTATAACAAATGGCAGGCGTTTTGATAGTTATCATT